CCCTCTGATAATGTGGCACTCCCTCAATACTGCCCCTCTGACAGTGTTGCACTCCCGTAGTCCTAACCGCTGCTTGATGAAGCACTCCCCCAGTACTACATTGGAGTTTCAGTTTGGATTATGGGCTCAAATTCTGACGTGGGACTTGACACTTCCAATTTGTTGGGAGGGCACTCCCCCACTGAAGCACCGCTGAGGGTTTCCATCGCTCTGTGTCCGTATAATGCAACAGTGTGCCATACAATAAGTGGAATGGCCGTGATCTAGGGGCTATGTGTGAGGTACACTAAGAGGTGTGATCTGATATTGTTACGGGTAAGGTCCATTTCTATCAGTCTGTTCATTAGCTCGACTTGATTTTTCAGTTATTCACCATCTTCAGGCGACGGAGCGACCGGGATTCCGTGCCCCCGGCAGGTGTGTGTGCCCAGTCCCCGGGACTGAGCTACTGACCGTGCCGTTTTCCTGCAATTATAGGGCGGCCAGCCCGGGCTCTCGCTTCCTCCGCCCAGCTCGGTTTCAGGCTGCTGCTCTGGTTTGATGTTTTTTAAACCTGGTTCTCATTTGCTGGTTTGGCATCATCAGGCTTTCATATTATGGGTTATTTGAGTTCCTCCCCTCTTTAATTCCTTTAAAGCTGTGAAACATTAAGCACTTTGTGCTAGTCCTCCGCCGCCCGTTTTGTTTCACTCTCTCGCCTCTGCCAGTCCCGCTCTCATTGGTTCCGCTGTCGCTGAGGAGGTCATTTCTCCTGTCGAGGAACGGGACAGAAGGGAACCGGTTCGTCGGCCAGTGTCTCCCCGGCTAGAGCCTCGCCCAATGCCGCGGGAGGAGTGAGGACACAGCGGCTTCCCCTCTCAGCTCGGACTGCAGTAAGTTGCTTCATCCTGACTGTCTCTGGGTTAGGATGGTGCCGGCTCCCAGCTCCCGGCTCCTCTCACTACCTGCTCTCTCTCTCTCTCTCCCCCTCTCTGTGTGTGATAACAGCTCTGCTACCTGTCCTCTCTCCTTCCTCCTGCTTCCTCTCTGTAACTTATTCTCTGGGTTTGATGCCTTACCATTTACTCTCCCCTTAGCATCTGCTCTTTGTTTTTATTGCTGTTCTCCCTCACTCTGTCTCTGCATTCACAGTCATCCGGCTCTCTTTTTGTCTCGTAGTCACTAAGACAGTCTGAGAGCCTGTCCCCTCAGCCCTGTCTTCTTTCCTGTCAGGAACTCTCGCTCACTCCTACCCTCACTGTCTCCCTGCTCTTTGCCCGGTTCTATCGCTCGGTGTGTGCGGGCTGCTTCTTTATTTTGTCGGGAGCTGGCGGTGTGTAGCTCCGCTGCCCGCCCGCCCGTATCGTCAGCCTGAGGGCGGCACTGACTGAAGACGAGATCTGCTCTTCCCAGGCAGGGCACGGCCGGCAGGTGCGGCTCCCGGAGGCCGGGAGGCAGAGCCCATAGGAGCGGCGTTACCCACCCCGGGAGGGTCCCGGGACTGGGGTTTTCCCTGCCCCCCCCAAGCCAGTGAGGGTCCGGGGACGGGGGTTCCCCCCCCGCGCCCCCAGCCAATGAGGGTCCGGGGACTGGGGTCCCCCCGCCCCCAGCCAGTGAGGGTCCGGGGACTGGGGTTTCCCCCCCGCCGCCAGCCAGTGAGGGTCCGGGGACTGGGGTTACCCCCCACTCCCCTCCCCTCCCCTTGTGAGGGTACCGGGACAGGGGTTACCTCCGC